AGCGCGCCGGATTGAGCGGGCTGCTGCCCTTGCCTGCCGCACCGGTGCCGCCGCCGCCGCCTCGGCCGCCGTGGGACGCGAGGCTCTCGAGATTGACCTCGCTCTGCTGCCGCAGCACCCGCAGGTGTTCGGGCTTCATCCAGCTTGTGAAGCCAAAGTTGAGGGCGGGGTAGCTGAGCAGCACGCCGATGGGCTTGGCGAGCGGCGGGGGGCGGCCGCCGGGACCGCCTGCGGCCTTTGCGGCGAAGGCGCCGGCGATGTGGGGCTGCGGGTACTCGATGACCTTGAAGACGACGGCGGTGGCGAGGTTGCCGCCTGCGCTGTCGCCGCTGAGGATGGTGCGGAAGTTGGGCCCGCCCGACATGCCGATGATGCTGCCGCCGCTCTCGACGAGGGAGCGGTAGACGTCGTAGCACTCTTCGACGGCGTAGGGGTAGGGGTACTCGGGCGCCTTGCAGTAGTCGATGGCGAGGACGGGCTTGTGCATCTGCTTTGCCAGCTGGCGGAGGCGCTCCTCGTGGTGCTGCGGGTTCATCGAGACGAAGCCGCCGCCGCAAAAGTCGATGACGAGCTCCTCTTCGTCGCGGAGGTGGCGCTCGCTCTTGGCGTAGAAGAGCCACGCGCGGATGGGGCGGCGGTGGTGGGGGCCGACCTTGGGGCGGGGCAGGAGCAGGGGGCGGGCGATGGGCAGCGAGGGCCGGTGGAACCAGGTGGCGGCGCGGATGTAGGGGTTGGTGGTCTTGTGCCAGGTGGTGCGCATCATGTCGATGGTACAGAAGGCGCGGAACTTGCGCAGCTGGAGAAGAGCGAAGGGAGGGCGAGGCGCAGGGGGGGGGGGGAGGGGGGGGGAAGAGGAGGGCGGGCAGATTGACGTGAGTGGACCGAGCCGTAGATGGTAGCGGCGCGGGGGTTATGGGGAGGGGTCCCCTGTGAGCTGATCTGTCGACGCCGTACTCACCTTTTCATCTGCCTCGTCTGCGTATACGAGGTAGTAGAGGGAAAAGAGGATGCTGAGGATGTCCTTGAGCCACTGCGGGCGGATGTTGAGGGCGGTTGCGAAGCCGGCGTCGAGTGCGGTGACGATCCAGGTTGTGCGGTAGAAGGAGCGCGAGTACATGCGTGCGAGGGGTTCTGGGGCGCCGAGGCCGAGGATCGAGTCGAGGTGTCGGATGGCGTAGATGGAGGTGGAGCAGAAGACGACAATCTGCCACGGGGTGAAGCGCTTGAGGCGGCGGTTGAGGAGGGAGACGATGGGGATGCGCCTGGGGCCGTTTGGGTTGCCGGTGGCGAGGTACCAGAGCCAGAAGCAGATGACCGAGAGGACCTGGAGGCGCTTGAGGCGGGTGGAAGGCCTGCCGAGGAGGTGGTCAATCATGGCGGCGAGGAGCGGGGGTTAGGCGGCCAGGCAACCGCAGCAGGGCGGTGCTGGCAGCGGGGGGAGCTTGAGGGCTGGATTGTGGTGGGGGGGGGGTTGGAAGGGAAGATGGTGGGCTCGGGAGGTCTGGACTGGCGAGGATGTCGACGAGTGAGTGCCGGGGGGATGAAGAGGGGGAGGGACGTCGAGCGGTGTCCAGCACGCCAAACGAAGCAGACGAGGAGGAGGGGGAGGATGATGTGGGGGAAGGTGGGGAAGAAACGAGAGCGCGATGGTGGTGGTGGTGGTGGTGGTGGTGGTGGTGGTGGTGGTGGTGGTGGTGGTGGTGGTGGTGGCAGAGGAGGTTTCAAAAGGGACGGCGACGGATTGCACCGGGAGTCGACCCGGTGTGGCCGACGAGGTGAGGTGAGGTGAGGTGATGGTGTTGGAGAGGGGGCGAGGGGAGCATGTGAAACGCGCGCGTGCATGGACTGGGCCAGGCCAGGTGAGGCTTTGCTGCTGCTGCTGTCAGGCGGGCCGGCAGGCCAGGCCCACGGCAGGCCAAGCCCATGCCATGCCTCCATGCCAGGCCTCATGCCATGCCTCCATGCCAAGGCCAAAGCCCCGCCCGTGCCATGTGGAGGACAGCCAGGCCAGCCAGCCAGCGTAGCGAGACGGCCTGGAAAAGCAGAAACCAACACCCGCGCCCGCGCCCACCGCCGCCGAGAGACAGACAGAGAGAGAGAGAGGATGGAGAGAGGGCCTCGTTGCCATGGCCTGTGGCAAGCAAGCAAGCTGGCACAGAGCAAACCCTCGCCGGCGCCCTGGCCGCGTCACACTCGACTGGTTGCCATCAGCAATCGACAGAGTAGCATTGCATTTCAATGGTGAGCAGGCCGCTCGGCCTCGTAGCAGGGCATCGCGCTCGTAGCTACCAGGCCGAGAGCAAACAAAGGGGGAGAGGGGCTTATTTTTGAGCTCGGCATCGCGCTCATGGCTCTGATACAACCGCTGCTCCGCCTTCCAGCAAGGCATCGCGCTCGTAGCTAGACGGTGAACAGGGCGGAGGGGAAGGAAAATTGCCACTCCACCTTCTAGCAAGGCATCGCGCTCGTAGCTAGAAGATGGAGAGGGCGAGGGAGAGGGGCTTATTTTTGAGCTCGGCATCGCGCTCATGGCTCTAATCCAACCGCCGCTCCGCCTCCTAGCAAGGCATCGCGCTCGTAGCTAGGAGATGGAGAAGGCGGAGGGGTATGGAGGAGGATCGCCACTCCACCTTCTAGCAGAGCATCGCGCTCGTAGCTAGAAGATGGAGAAGGCGGGCGGAGGGAGGGAGGGATTATTTTTGAGCTCGGCATCGCGCTCATGGCTCTGTAGGACCGCCACTCCGCCTTCTAGCAAGGCATCGCGCTCGTAGCTAGAAGGCGGAGAGGGTGAAGGAGGGTCGCCACTCCACCTTCTAGCAGGGCATTGCGCTCGTAGCTAGAAGGCGGGGTGAAGGAGGGAGGGAGGGATTATTTTTGAGCTCGGCATCGCGCTCATGGCTCTGATACGATATCGAGGATATCGGACCGTGCAGCTCCACTAGCAGGGCATCGCGCTCGTAGCTAGAAGGTGGAGGTCGGTGAGGAAGGAAAAGAGGGAGGTAGACGGGGGAGGGTGGGGTTCTTATACCTGTAGCCCTTGCTTGCCAGCCCGTCCCGAGCGCCCCCCAGGCCAGGCCCAGGCCAGGCCCAGGCCCAGGCCAGCGCTCGGCTCGGCTCGGCGCGAGAGAAGCAAGCAAGCAAGCCCCACCCCCCAAAAAAAATTACGTGCACCTCTTTCTGATCTCGCCTCCAAAAAAAATTACGTGCACCTCTTTCTGATCTCGTCTCTTCGTCGGCGCGCGCGCGTACGCGTACCAAACGCGTGCATCCACGCAATTTTCGCCGTCTCGTTGCACCCGGCCTTTTCCAGGGGGGCCGCGC